GCTCTTTTGTATGCCTTAATTCTTCTTTCTTTCTAAAAATGGACAATATACATGTATATAATTACTAGATATTTGGCTTAGAGGGGCTGAGGTGAGGTCTGGTGATCAAAGAAGTCCATAATTTTTGTCATAACTATCAAACACTTAAACCATTGCTTTTAGTATCATAAAATGGGTAGGTTCTATGAAAAATGGGGGCTAAAAGGTAGTGGCAATAATGGAGAGATGGCTACAAATTTGCAAAATTAGAATCATCAAAAATTTAGCAATTCATGCTATCAAGCTATCAGGAATGGGCAAGTTGTAATTAGTTCCATCTTTAGGGTACTTGTACTTATAAGTACAAAGTTAGTTTCAGCCATGTACATACATGTTGTACTTAATTAAAATAGTTTAGGTCTGTGTACATGTACTTCACCAAGAGTATATACACACACATGTACTCTTGACTTCACGTACAAGTAAATTTGAGGTGTAGACTGTACATGTATCTCAATCTCAATACTACCTATCTGGAAATTTTTACTTTGACTTTAACTTTACTGGATTAAAACTTTGCAAAAAATAGATCACACATACAGCATAATAATTCCATGCCACATTGAATAATATATGACAGTCTTATTATGTATAAAAATTAAATCACAGCACAATTTTGAAAAAAAATTTCTATACCACATAAATTTTCTGATTTACGTTAACTTATTTCAATTTCAATGAATTTAATACCCATAAAAATGTAAATTACACATACATTGCTGTTTACTAAAAATCTACAGTTTGGATCAGTTCTAATGGCTTCAAGAACAATTCAGTTGTGTTTGCACTTTGTACTACCTTTATAATAAACACACAACAGTGTAGACTTGCAGTGTGAATGAGATACATAATACTTATAAGGCGGATTTACAATATTACAATAGGCTTGATGTTGCATTGATGCTGGAATAGGATTTGATTCTATCTATTCTAGCAGAAAGCATGCGTCATAAGGTCAAATTACCCACAATTTTGATTAAAAATTGATGGTACGCTAGCCCAACGTCATATTGTAAATCCACCTTATAATGTTTAATGAAGCAAATAATTTTGAGGGCTTAGATCTCCTCTTTGCAAATTAAGGAAGCTAAAGCCACCTGTTCCTATTTGAGGCTAGTTCCGCAATTTAAGTCATTAAAGGAACAAAGTGTTCTAAATTTTGACTTAACTAAAATGAGAAGAATGTAAGGGGTTCCAGCCCCTTACCACATTCTGACATGCATCAAACTACATGCATATGTACCTCACTAGTAATTGGCTTTGCTCAACAAGCTGTAGTTATAAAGTACCGTATTTCCTTAAATAAAAGCCAGATGCGAATAAACGCCAGGGTTTACTTACATGAAAATCTTACATTCTTTTGCATAGCAAAGATAAAATTTTTGATGAAAATACAAATTAAAATATAAAATGTAAATATTATACCCGTATAGTGGGTATATTTCGTCTGGAAAAATGTTCATTCTAAGCAGGATTAGAAATTTTCGTTCGTTTTATTTTCATTCTGAGCAGCCATTTTGCACACGTGGCATTGAGGAAACGCCCTTTTCGTTTGAAAAATGTTCGTTCCACAAGGAATGAGAACAAAAAGAACGAAATTAAACTCGAACGGAATATACCTGCTATACGGTAGTAGATAAAAATAGTATACACAATTCTAAAACATCAAAACAAAAAATCACATCAATTTATACGTGTAGATTGGTATATGAAAATATTTTAGAAAAACTTTGAGATACATGTAGATACAAAAGACTATCAGTATACTGATTTAGCTTCATGAAAAATACAAGGATTGATAAAGTAAATCTTCACAAAAAAATTAATTTTACACAAATTTACTTCACATAAATTCATACCATCAAGAGTACATAATATCAAGAGTGGATAAGGAGGAGGGGAGAGTGTCTAACTGCCCTATGCTGCTAGTGATATGTGCGCGTAGAAGTCTTTCACAGTTTGTTTAGCACCTTCTTTGACCTGTTTAAACATCAACAGCCATGATAGTAAATGGGTGTGTTTTTAATAACCTATATGGTGCACCCACCCACACGTGTAGTCACGATGTTTCAAGAGGAAGAGTCAGAACTACAGCACAATCCAGATTGAGAGCATCTAATCTTGATGAGCGCCATGCCACTACACCTAAGCGCCCTAAAGCATCAAGAAAGAGGACATGGAGCCAAGAGTCAGAAGCCTCTGCTCCAGTGAACTCAGATCTGTAATACTTCGTTTTTAAGATCAACAGCAGTTAACAGCCCGTCTCAAAAGTACATGTACCATATATTCTTTCACTTCTATTATTATCCTTACTCTTGATGTTGTGGGTCCCAAGGGACCAGACTAAAGGAGGATGATCATTGATCAAGAGCTTTTCATGTGTCAATAACAAACATGGTTTGTGTGCTTGGAAACTACAAATCTCTTCAGAGTGGTACAAAGTGACTGGTACAACAAGGTGAGGTCAAATTCTGCTTCCAAGGTCTCTGGTCCAGGCTCTTGCTGCTCAGTTCAGCAGCCATTTTTATATTACAGTTAACTTAAGTACACGCCCAACTATGGCTTCAGTGCAGTTATCACTTATTGTGCTAAAAAGGTATGCGGGAATGTACAAATAATAACCATGAAACTTCTACGCGCACATATCACTAGCAGCATAGGGCAGTTAGACACTCTCCCCTCCTCCTTATCCACTCTTGATAATATTAGGGAGAGTATCCTATAGCCCTATGCTGGCTGATACATCACAGTGTATTGTTTATTTGACCCTCAAGGTGAAAATTGGCAGGGTCTTTGCGTCTTTAATAGCCTGTCACTGCAACAAAGACATGTCATTCCAAATGGCAAGTGACTATGAAGCTTCTTCTCAAACATAGGTAGCCAAAGAAGTCATATTTAGCCATTAAAAAGTCTTACAACCTGCTTACAGCCTCATAAACGAGCTCATAAGCTTTTCCGTGGCAGCCATTTTAAATTGCGTGGTCAACCCTCCCACGCCAATAATTAATTATTATTAGTGTTAATGTGTGAAATGGTATACCGTATAGCCACAAAGTTTCGAGGCAATAAACTTTCGCGAATCAGGCCACAAGTCTGTTTTCGTGAATTAACTTTCGCGGTTCTTGTTTTAAAGCACACGTGTTTATGGGTAATATGGATAATTTTACAGAATTAGCTTTCGCGAATACGGAGAATCCATGAAAACAGTGAAAGTTGTACCCTCGAAATTAAGCAGCTATACGGTATTCCTGTATACCAAAGAAGTATACTGATGTAAACAATACACCGTGATGTAGCAGGCTACTATAGGTGCGTTGGATACTCTCCCTAATATTATGTACTCTTGATACCATGTACATGTACATGTACACCCTTAGATAAATGAACAGTGTATATTAATTCTTAAACTATATAGGAAGCATTATGACCAATATACAATTGATGTTTTTGTAAAATACATGCAGTACCATACAGTGCATCATATTTAAATTCCGCAAGACAACCATACCTGGTTTCTATCAGATTCATAATCAGTTCATGA